AATAAGACATGAGTTACCAGCCCTGATTATAGCGTATGACGCAACAACGTATCGTCAAAATCAGACTAAACTTGTGCGAGGGCCTAACTGAGAAAGGGTGCACGTATCTTGAAGGACAAGGACATTTCGACGTCCTTGCCATTGTTATCTTCAAGAACGTGCACGTAGGTTTATGTTAAAGAAGTCATCTGAGGCAATTGACGTCAATACGTAGCCTGTTCCTACAACTGTAAGATCTGTTTAACTCATCCAACAATCGTTTTGGCACAAGAACTGACGGAAACACGTTCAGAACCTTGCAAAAGCACGCTCACTGGTGCCTGGAGAAGGCCCTTCGGTCCGTGCGAAATGACATGAACGAAAATAACGGAGCTAGGGGACCTTGGGCCGTGCGTTTGACGGAGTTTTCTTTTCAACCACTCGTGGAGAGTACACAGAAATGGAGTGCAAAGATCAGAAACGAATATATCATAGATACAAATTCTGTTTATTCTTCGCATCCAGGGAGACCCTAGAAATGGACATGGTCAAAGTTCAGGCCATCAGAGTTTTCTGTGCGTCAGAGTTGTCCGTGCTGCAGAAACCGCAAAAACAGGATGACAGAGAAGTTCGAGTACCGGGAATTGTTTGCGCCAGTACTGCAAATTCCGGGAACGTACGAACTTACGGACGAGAATAGATTTATTTGATATAAACTGTTGGTATAAATTTGATACAAACTGATGTCGCGAGTACAGCTGAGCATCTGGAATTCTGAATACGGGACGTGAACCTCAATTTTTTTTAGAACACTGCATCTTCTTATTCGTGTACAGTGAGCATCCTTCCTGATGGAAGCATTTGATGTGTATGTAAGATGCAGAGAGAGAAAGAGTTTGAGAGAAAGAGGGAGCAGTCTTCGGACCTTGCTGTCCTTTGTAGTCAGTAGCGACATCTCTAAAGAGCAATGGTACCTCTGCTGGAGGTCGTAGCTTACATGGTACCTCTCTAAAGCTACAGGTTGTAGCTCACACGGTACCTCTCTAAAGCTACAGGTTGTAGCTCACATGGTACATCTCTAAACCTAGGTTGTAGCTTACATGGTAACTCTCTATTAAGGTAGAGGTTGTAGCTTATTACAGGGTACCTCTCTAAAGCCTACAGGTTATAGATTACATTGTCCCCTCTAAGTGAGATGGTAACTTATATGATCTAATACTCTGAAATCAAAGGTTATAGCTTACATTGTCCTCTCTAATTTTTAAGGTTGGGGTTGTATCTTATTACATCGTACCTCTCTAAAAGCTAGAGGTTATAGCTTACATGGTTCCCCAACCGGCCCGGCGCCGTGCGGCCAGCCAGCCGGTACAGCAGGTGTTCTCTCCCGGGATCGGAAAGGGATGACTCGGCACCCCAACCAGTTCCGGGTCAACAATGGTGCGCCTGCTTCTAACCTCTCTCCTGTATATTCAACAAAAATAAGCATAGGAAATATGCCCGAAGTTCACTTTCGCGCATATATCATTTTACTTAACGCCTGACCTGGCGTACGGTTATTTATAGCAGCTGCTTGTTTGAAGAAGAAACAACTGATTCCTAATCGCGTTGTACATACTTCAAGTAATTTACGCAATGAACGTCAGGGCGGAAAAATACTAGTTGAGAATTGGCAAAGGGTATTTAAAGTATACATCTTAATCCTACATACCACAGACATCCTTTTGGGACTTTAATTGAGGAAAGGAAAGTTAGGAGCATGTGTCAGTTGAGAAAACAATTATCAACCATCTGCGGCTTAACGAAACTTTTGTCCAAACATACTGCATGCAGTACTTTCTTTTTTTCAAGGACGGGAATCTGTTATATTCATGTTTGACCCGTCTCGTCAGAAGTGTTATATTATACGTTCAATTTGAAAATTTATCATGATCTGCAAGGTGTTATAAAACCAACAAACATGTTGCGAATCTCTTCCTAGCCTAGAAATCCAAGTACAAAGCAGTGAGAAATTAAAAAGATGATCTTTCAAGGATCTTTCAACGACACAGACAGATGCTGTGTACAAGAAAGTAAATGGTACCCAGAAAGATGTCTTGAGAGAGGGACACACGTCAAAGTTGTCTTCGATTTTCTGTAAAGACACCGTACATTGTGTTGAGACGCATGACAATTTTTTTCTCTACTGAGTGGACAACAACGCCAGTATTGACGTCCGGTTATCAGTGTTTTCTCTCTGCAGACGAGACCTCGACGTACGTTTTTCCAACCTGTTGATGCTCGTGAGTCGTGGAGTAGAACGTCTAGAGTCTATAAATTTTCAGGGTCCCGACGGAGCACAAGTACCTAGGAGTTGGTGACGCTATAACACAACATGAAAATACGCTATATTCAAGAGAAATAAACATGAGCGTGGAGAAGTGGTGCAGGGGCATTAATTGTGGTCCCGGAGACAGCAGCACGTGCTGGAGCTGGTTAGTTCCACAGTCGTTTCCCGGTCAAGTCGTTTCCCCACTACTGGCAGTGGACGTTTCCCCACTCACCTTCTCTCTCTCCGGGATCACGAAATGTTCTTCACTAAGCGGGATGACACTTTCCATATGTTACAACAACTTACCACCCAAGCTCATTTATTGATTGAAGATAATCTGAAGGCTGATAGCTCATAATTTGACGAATAAACACCAGAAAACTATTTAACTGTGTGAGTTGTTAAGACTTTCCAACATGGCGACGGTGTTAGTACGCATGTGCGTGATTGGATTGTACCATTCTGTCCAAGGGGGCAACTTTTAACTGTCTCCTCTGAGGAGCTGTGAGTTGTTGGACACTTTTCAAGATGGCGACGGTGTCAGTACGCATGTGCGTGATTGGATTATACCATTCTGTCCAAGGGGGCAACTTTTAACTGCCTGTGAGTTGTTGGACACTTTTCAAGATGGCGACGTTGTTAGTACACATATGCGTGGTTTGATTCTACCAATGAGGTTAAAAAAAGAATCCCTTTTAACCTCCTTGATTTTACCATTCTATCCAAGGAGACAACTGTTATGGGAAAGAGGATTTTTTCACAACACTGGCGACACCCATCCAGTGGGCATATGCTTGATTTTTTTTTGTTCAGAAAATATAATAAGATGCAGTTCTGAACTTTACCGAAAAACTATTTGGGGTACGGCTCTTCTTACCCTTGACCACAACTTTTCTAGTGATGTCGTCTGCTGTCCCTTTGTGTAGTTTCATGACTAACTGATAGGTGTCTCTGTTTCCGTCCCAGGATTTCGCCACCCCCCACCACTCCCTCTACAAGATACACCTGCCCGACAAGAGCAGCAGCACGGGGAACAAGAACAAGACTTTAAAACTGCGCCTGGCGGTGTCGCCTCCCAAGAATGGCAAGGCTCCCGAGAAACGGGGTAGAGACGGAGATGGAGCAGAAAGAAGCGAAGGACGAGGACGGGGATAGCGAGTAGTAAGGTTGGTGGTTGAGATCAATTTATGCATTTACGCAGCGGTCAACATTAATGGCAAGGTCAAATATTTATGTACAGTTATAAATTATTTTATGTATATTTTGATATGATATATATGATGAGGGTTTGCTGACGTCATTGGAAGAGGTCAGATAAAGTTTACGGTGAACTTTTGAACCCGACTACTTGGGTAACCTGTTGTCAAGGCAACACTTTTTGAAGGATGATGCCACGCCTAGCGACATTGTTACTTTGACAAAAATTCATTCAACATGACGGTGGGACCGTCGGGATTGCATCATGAAGTGGGGGTGTGGTTAAAGTCAACGTCTGTAGTAGCTGATTGGCCGCATGGCAAGCGTTGGTGACTTGTTCTGAGGATCCGGAGTAGTTGATTGGTTTGCATGGAAAGTAGGTGACGTACTTCACGGGGTCAGGTCTATTGTTCCCAATGCATTCTCAAAAACTACCCAGATACAATTGTTGTTTTTGTATCTATCACAAGGTGGCGCTTTCACCAGCAGGCATCTACGGTCTTTGAGTAAATCGCTCGGTGAGGCCTCTTTACCATAGTGATAGGATATTCATCATATACCAGTTATAAATTCATTAATCCAGTTATGAATACATTAATCCAGCTATGAATACATTATCGTTGAAGTGTATACATTTGCATAAATTATCGTTGAACTTGAACTACATACATTTGTATATTATTAACCTTGACTTTGATCTTGCCCTTATTGTTGACCGCTGTATAAATGTATAAATTGATCTCAACCACCAACCTTACTACTATAGCGCTAGCGGGAATGAGGGAATGTCAGAAGACTGTGAGATGCCTACTCGCAAGAAATCCTGCAGTGCCAATGAGCAGATGAGGAAGCTGAACCTGCATGAGTTTGTACAGAAGTCTAAGTACTACTGGATGGAGTTGATCAACTTCGGGGACATAGAAGTACGCTATTTTTACAGGAAAACTGAAGGATTCGCTGGGCTGGAAGGTAACTTATCAATGATAGAAGGAGTGATCACACGTCTCCGAAACCACCGTGTTATTTAAAAAAAAAAGTCAGACATCTCTAGTCTCCACCAGTAATTGATTAATTATCTATAGATAAGAAGGCACACCTGGAGTTGTTTTGAGAGACCGGGGTGCTAACGTTCGCCTGCAACTGCAATGTTCGCATCGTAGGTCCGCATAGAAATCTCCCAGCAGTTCGTTCGGGGGCACAAACGTTTTGCCCATCTACAGGCAACCAATGGTTAGAGGCGGTCAGTTTAGACTCCCCTTGCCCCCTGAGAATCTGCTTAGAGGCCAGGCCCGTCAATAGACATTTTGAATTCTCCAACATACTTTGAATTTTCGCATATCATCAATTGATCCACACCATGCAAATTCGCTTGCGGAGCCACCATTGGTGGGCAGCAGCCCTGCTACCTACCTTGTCCGCAACAGCCGGATAGGTTCCAAAATTTACATGCGCTCTCTTATAAATAGGTTGTGCACACAATTAACGCCAGTCGTTCTGTTCACCGTTCGAGAACAACATGCCGCCTCAAGGAAGAGGAAAAGCCGCCAATAAGGCCGGAAAGGCCAGGCCCGCTGGAGCCAAGGGCAAGAGGAGGAGGAGGGAGTCCTTCGGTGTCTACATCTACAAGGTCCTCAAGCAGGTACACCCTGACACCGGTGTCTCCAGCAAGGCCATGGGCATCATAAACTCCTTCCTCAACGATATCTTCGAGCGTATCGCTGGCGAGGCTTCCCGCCTGGCTCACTACAACAAGCGCTCCATCATCAGCAGCCGGGAGATTCAGACCGCCGTGCGTCTGCTGCTGCCTGGCGAGCTGGCCAAGCACGCCGTCAGCGAGGGCATCAAGGCCGTCACCAAGTACATCAGCTCCAAGTAAACTGCCTGACCCCCCGAGCAGTATACCCCGGCCCTTTTCAGGACCACCCACATCTTCCAGAAAGTCCCGTATCGTGTCTCGAAAATCTTGCATTTTCAACACTGATCAGTTGTTTATGAAGTGCAGAGGAGAGTCTTGAAGATCATCTCTCTGGGTGGAAGGAGGAATGTTCCCGACCTCCCAACACTTCGAGAAAGACGTGAACTCGCGGTTGTCAAGTTGTTCAAGTGTATGCTCAGCCCTGACCACCCACTACATGATTTGGCACAGGGAGGTGTTTGAGGAAGTCTGGGGGAAAGCACGGACAAACAAACAGACTGTACAACTCGTTCTTCCACTGCACAATTAGACTGTACAATAGCCAAATGCAGACCTAGTTTTCTAGTGTTTCATGTCCCACTCTTCTGTGTAATTGCCTTGTGCGTCTCTTGTACTCATCTAAAGTCCACACAATTCAGGAGTACTACGTACCCCTGCTATGTTGAGTGTTCTTAATAAAAAATTGAAATGAACTATTCCATGTTTTGAAACGAATGAAAGAATTTTACTTGTACGTTCATTCTCAATTAATGACAAAATACATGTGGCGCCGACATATTCATATTACCATCTAGTGCCTCTACAGTGGCTATGTAATTGTATGTATAGGTTTAGGACCTCAGAAACAAGTACAAGGAGGTATATGAGCCTACAATGGGCCAATATATGAGCATTTGAAGATGATTCAGAACCTGAATGCCTTTTCGGTATTTTGGGTGAAAGAAGAATAAAAAGATGCGGGCGAGTGTAAGTGCCAATGTTTAATAAATTCGTGTAGCCTTATATAGATGCACCAATTTTGAAAGAAAAAACTGTAATAGTTGAGCTCATCACGTTGCTAGCACAACGCAACCTTTTACAAAAATGCATACCGTGCAGTGTATGATACAGCTGATTATGAGATGTACATTCTTTAGCTGTATCATCCCAGTATGAGAAAGAGGAGCAGTTGTAATTATGAATAGTCCTTTTTTGAAAAGATTTGGGATGCCCTGAAAAGGACCGGGGTCGTTTACTCTTATTCCATTTGTCTAGCTAGATTTGGTGGCGGTCTTCTTGGGCATCAACTTCGGGGAACTAGAAGTGCTCTGTTTTTTAAAAGAAAACTGATAAACACGATAACAACCGATAATAAGATGGGGGCAGAAATTAAAAAAAAAAACACTACCGCCAAGAAAATATGCAACATTCACGTCCATAATCTTGTGATGACGGTTACAAAAGTAGTTTTATAATGACTTCCTCTTGGTAGGTTCAGCGGTCTACCATGAGCTCCAAGAGCTCTTAAGTATATCCAGATCCCTTTGAGCGACTCGATTGGATGAGGTACTCACTTGTACCACATGGTGGCGCTCTAATGCTGCGTCCGCAACGTGTTTATCATATCCATGACACCAGTAATGGGGTTTTAGCCCGACTGCTTGACCATAGCCATATTTGGAGATATGGAGGACTTACCAGTAAATGGCCAGGGTGTGACTCATGATGAGAGAATTCAACTTGTTCCAATAAATCCTTAAGCTTGACCCGCCCTCACATTTCCATTCATTTTCACTTTGGGTATAATGAGGCCGCCATCGGGGCAGGCACGTATTCCCAAACTCTCTTACTTCTAACCCTTCTGAAATAGAGGGGGGCTCATTTATATTTTGTTATGTTTAATACTAGTTTCTGTTACACTTTGGTACATACTTTCCTGGTGCAACCCCAAGTCATTATAACCCTTCTGTCTTCTGGGAAAGCGTGAGGGGCTTTGAGTCACACGAGTAATGGGCCAACTCCCCATGGGGTTTTAGCCCGACTGCTTGACTATAGCCATATTTGGAGATATGGAGGAGTTAGAAGTAAATGGCCAGGATGTGACTCATGATGACAGAATTCAACTTGTTCCAATAAATCCTTGACACCCCCTTACATTTTCGTTCATTTCCACTATGGCTATTATGAGGCCGCCATCGCGGCGTGGTGGACCAAGGCATCGTCGCTTTAAGAGGAGGATTTCAGCACCGCAGCGGGCTCTCCACCGCATCGACGATGGGTGCGTTATTTGTAAGAGAACTGTTTCAAAACAACGACGTGCCGTCCACCGCACAACCGACCAGTGCACTGTTTGCGACAGAGCAGTTACACCACGACACCACGCCCTGAAGTGCGATAGTTGTAGAAAATGGCAACATCGCACGTGTGGCACCGGTAAGGCTTTAAACTTATTCTCGATAGCATCGGCGACTTGTCATTCATCATGATCATCTACACTCTTGGCTTCGTCTTTTCCCTGCACGTGGGATTTTAGTCCGACTGCATGCATAAGAGTAAGATGGGCCTTTTTCGCCAACTTAATTAAAAAAAAATATCTTTACAGGCATTTCACAAGACGAGTATCGACAAATTTGTCGCGAAGAAAAAGAGCTGGTACGGTGGTTATGTACTCATTGTTTGCCACCTCGTTCGTCAAAACTGCCACACCGAACATCACAGCGGTCGGGAAAAACTGCCGATCGGCCACCACCAGCTGACTTCCAAGCAGAGGAATCAACGTCTATCAACGTGACGAACCCCGATGATCTGTCACCACCACTAACCGACTTCCAGCCAGAGAGACCTTCCAGTGACCTGTCACCACCGCGCCGATCATCACAGCGGTCACGAAGTAATGTCAATACACTAGAACTATCCGACTTCCAGGCAGAGGGACCTTTCAATCTGCCGAACCCGGACGAAGACCAAGAAGAGTCCATCCCGGACATGGATGTAGAGCAGGACTTGCCGCGCGACGATGCCGGTGGATTAACCTACTCTCTTATTGAGGGTGGATCAAAAAGAGGAAGAAAGAAGCTCGTGGATAGCCATGGATTTTCATATACAGTCAAAAGAGCTAGAGAGGATTCCCACACTACTTACTGGGAGTGCGCAAAAAGACCAAAATTCTCGAGATGTTCGGCATCTGTCATTGAACGTAACGGTGAGTTCAAACGCGGAGACAACAGGCACAGCCATCCGCCGGTTATCAACGCAGCGACGAGCCTTAAGATTCAGGCAACCATTCGAGCCAGGGCGACAGTTGATGTCTTCACGGCCGCAAGTTCAATAGTGCAGGACGCCGTAATGGAGACTGTTGACCTGGTAGCGCCGAACCCGGAGCTGGCAACCACCTCAAGCCTAGTGAGTTACTGTTATATGTTTCATTTTCCCGTCTTCATAATTATCTAGTATTTAAACTTGGCACAAAAAAGTTAAGATTCGCATCATTTAGTACACTTGTTGTTTTGTTATGATCTTTGTCCATGAGCTTAACATAATGGATGATTATCTGAGTAGGTCGCGGAGGAAAAGTGCCGAAAATTTTCCTTGAACATGTCGCTGTTGTGCTGTAATGTTTGGCATAGTGTGTTTGACTGACAAGCTTGTATATTTTCCACCCATTTTGTCTCACACGTTTTCTGCATTTTAGCACCATGACTGACTTCATGGTGGGTGGCCGTCTCGCCGACCAAAACCCAAATCCCCCCCCCCCAAAAAAAAACTCCGTCAAACACTTTGTTGGTTCTGAAATTTCGGCACGTTTGTGACGTGCTTACGTTATCTGCGCAATAATAATATGTACTACTATACATTCGATAACATATCTGCCGAATTCAAGCTTGAAACACTTTGTGCCACGTTTATGTACAGTTGTTGTCACTATTTTAACGTCTCGAATGGAAAATTGACCTCTATGTATGGTCAGTCGTGTTTTTGTTTGGCTTGTCGGCTGACTTCCATGGTTCATCTTAGCATGGATCATCAAGCAGCAGTGTTAATGATAAAAATTAAAACGACCCTATTTGTGGTAGAACGTTTCCGCTGAATGGTGTGATGCTCAGCCCCTATGTGGTCGGGAATTCCCGCAAAAAATAATGTGTTCTTTTACGTATGGGGACATTGTGTCTAGGGAGGAAATGAACGCCTCTTGTCGAAAACTCAATAGCATATGAGTGAAAACTCTGCAAGGGTAAATCGGCAATGCATTCCATTTTGGTTGTTATTTCAATGTTATAAGAGTCCTTTCCACCGGGTTTTTTTAACCCATGCCCTGTATGGTTGGCTGCTCTCTTAATTATTTTTTTTTGATACCGTTTAATAGTGACGAGTTCGTGGGGTATAGCTTACGATGGCGGAAAAGCCTCGATATTGCATGCATATTGATTAGAATGTCTCCTGGTCGCGCAGTCGTTACAATGTTTGATTCCTCGTATCAGTGGGAGGATTAAACCCTAACAACGTGTAGTAATTGATTAAGATGGTGGTAACTAACGTAATGGCTTCCTGTGCTTTCAGATACGCATGGTCAACAGGAAGAGACAGGGCCTACGACCTAAAGACCCAACCACATTGGACTTCGCGATTGAGGATCAGCACCTACCGCCAGGATTTCTAGTGGGAGACATCAGAGTCCGAGAACGCCGTCATCTGATCTTCGCCAGTCAGCACCAACTACAGCTTTTATCAACGGCGAAGACGTGGTACATGGACGGTACATTCCACGTCGTCAAGCCCCCCTTCAAGCAGTTATTCAGCATCCATGCCTTTGTCAGGGAAGGCGAAGTCCACAAACAAGTCCCCATGGCGTTCGTCCTGATGTCTGGGAAACGAAAAAAAGACTACAAGAAGGTACGTTATCAGACAAGTCGTAAGCATACAATCTAAGAATTTTGTGAAGGAGAATTCATCCAATCTCATTACCCAATAACTTGCGCTAACTTAACTGCGATATATATTGTGCCATTCTCACCCCATATTACAATCCATGCTGTGTAAGTACTTTAGGCATGATAAACAGATGCTCTAATTTCTTCTTTTTTTGTACCAGGTTTTGAAGAAGGTAAAAAGTCTCCTACCACAGACTCCACACGTGAAGACGTTCGTGATGGATTACGAGGCTGCATTGTGGCTGGCGCTAGACGAAGTCTTCCCCGGAAAGTCGAGAAAGGGCTGCGCCTTTCATTGGTCCCAGGCCGTCTTCAGGAAACTCCAAAACCTCGGTATGTACATGTAACTATAATTCACTAGAACTAAATGATCAATGTTAAGTTACTGTCATAAAACAGATTTGCGCACACTCAAACTCAACTTGCTTTTTTTGCTTGAACTGAACGTGTAAACATGACTATATTTAGTTGTTTTATTGTTGCTATTGTTTTTTTTTACTGAGCAGATAGGCAGTGCTATAGCCCATGTTTGACCACTGTTTAAACCTTCTTTACTTCAGGACTTCAACCAGCGTACCAGCAGCGGGAAGGCGCTTACAAGTACATGAGGAATCTGATGGCCTTGCAGTTTCTACCACCGGAGCACATTCCACAGACATTGAACACATTGCGGCAGCTGACCGACAACAGTCTCCTCACCAAACTAGGCGACTACATCAATTCGACATGGATCGAGAACAGCGTTTGGAAAGTGGACGAATGGAGCGTGTTCATGCGGCCGGTTAGAACAAACAACGACGTCGAAGGCTGGCATCAAAGACTGAAGCATCAGTCGCACCTTGGCAAAGTACCATTTTACATGCTGGTCAACCTACTAAAGAAGGAAGCAGACTTCGTGACACTGCAAGTTCGCGCGGTTTCTGATCATAGGTTAGGACGGTATCAACGAAGAACATACAGGCTGATACAGGCCAAACTTTTCCGCCTCTGGGATGAATATGCTTCAGGCAAGCGAACGACTACGAGCCTATTGCGATCCTGTGCCAGACTCTATGCACCGAATCCTGAGTAGAATATGATGTCAGCCAACCTATTAAGTGTTTGTTCATACATTACTTGGGGGGAGGGGGGGTGGTTACAGCGTCTTCCTTTCCAGACAATGGCTGTACACTGTTTTCTACTTTTGTTTAGCGATTGGTGGTTCCTGTGCATGTGATTTTAAAAGAACTTTGTTTTTTTTTTGTGGTCTGCTTGCTTTGTCATGTTCTGGGGGGAGGGGGGATGGTTACAACGTCTTCCTTTACAGACAATGGTTCTAGAATGTTTTCTACTTTTATTTAGCGATTGGTGGTTCCTGTGATTTTAAAAGAACTATGTTTTTTTTGTGGTCTGCTTGCTTTGTCATGTTCTGGGGGGGAGAGGGTTATAACTTATTTTCTTAGAGGAAGTGGTCATGAAAATTACCACGTTTAGAACGATTGGCGGTTTCCGTTCTTCTGTGTTGTATCTTGATTAAAATTTGTCTTGAAAGCAATTCATGGTTTATGTATCTATCTTCTATGAATCATCTTTCATATATACATCTATGGTACGATAATGTAGGAGCAATAATGCACATAATATCTCGCCACAATTAATACGTTATTGGCTCGTGTTGAAGATCGAATGCGCACTTATTACTTAATTAAACGAAATACATAGGTTATTGACCATAGCAGATTGTTTAAAGAACAAATTTCTGTACCACATTTTCCTATCTGGTGAGTATAACCGGTGAATAGTGATGAGTAGTAGTAATTATGTTGGACAGGATATAGCGCAAATCCACCTGTGGATTGTGTTAAACGTGGCGCGGTGGGTCTGGTTGTGTGTAGAAGTCACGCGGAGGTCACGTTGGCATACCAAACTCTGCAAGAGGGCGTATTAGGCTGCTTATAAAGAGTTTCGCATATATTGCTGTGTTAGTTTTCGGTATGGAGGTGTTAAAAAGCCAAACCGAAGACATAGTTCGTCATATGCTCCACCACAGAGCTCCCAACGTCTTTCCTACAAACCGGCGCTGGGAAAATAGAGCCATATACCGTAAGGTTGTGCAAGTGTCAAACAATGTGACGGAGAGGAAAGAGTGGGCTGATCTCGTCTGCTGTTTTGCCTCTACAGCAACAACGACAAACGGATCTTCTAGACTAAGGGATCTGGTAGAAACCGTGCTCTGCGAGGATGGATTGAACTGGGGGCGCATCATCACCGCGATGGTTTTTGCTTTGGATGTACATATTAAGTTACACGAGTCACAAATGATGCAAGGAAACGCGATATGCTCGGAGTTAGCTGACTCGATATGCGGCACAGCAGGGAAGTGGCTGTTACGACGCGGAGGGTGGAATGGGATGATTGACCCTGTGGAACCGTCGATATTCGTGACTGTTGTGAACCTTATCTGTCGTATGTGGACTGCGCCTGTTTGCGTTATTGTATCGAGATAATTTCCAAGTGACTAAGCAGAAAAACAGGCACGTCATATTGGTAAAGTTTAGGGACAAACAGAAAATAGTAGTGATGGGTTCTTACATTCGCTCTTAGCTTGTGCAGCAACTTTATTCCGCACATCAAGTGACACCCAATCGCTTTTTTCCGTTTGGTGATTTGGGTGATTCTCACGTTCGGTGTTTGTTCAGGGTTTCGGCATCGGTTATAAGACATGAGAATACATTTAACCTATAATGGCATAGGTTCACACCACCCTATGACGCCAAGATACATCCATATCCATATATGGCGTGAGGCTGTGAATGATTGGTTAGAGAAGGCTGTGAATGGTTGGTTACGACACTAATCTCCAAGCAAATTCGCTGGGGCAAGGGGACTTTGTACTGGCCTGCATCCAACGTTGGTCCCACGAAAGCCCTTTCCTTTCCATATGGCATGACGAGTTTAACCATCTTGTTTATGTCGGCATGCCCGGAGGTAGGTTAGCCTCGAGACAGTCTTGGCATTTTTACACTCTTGTTGAAGCCAAGGCGTTTTCTGGAAGTCATACGCAACCATGTAAAATATTCAGCATCGACAAAACTACCAAGGGGAACAAATTTTTTACCGTGACTACTGTGGACAAATTACCTTTCCTTGACTATTGCACCGACCGACACCGATATGAGATTCTCGAGCCCGACATACCCACTCGCCTCTACATGGACATCGATTGGCCAATGAGTAACGGGTCCGTGCCCCTTGGTGAAATCATCGAAGGTCTGTGGGGGTATCTAGGATCCGAAGTCGAAGACAGCATTGCAAAAGCAGCATCGGTGGTAAATATACGAGAGTGTTACGTCTTTGAAAGCAAGAAAGTAAACGCGACCAAGTATAGCTACCATCTGACATTCCCCCATATCATACTCCCCTGTGTCAAGACCATGGGAGGATTCGCTATGATGAAGGAATTTGTGCTGGGATTCGTGGAGTTCCTGCGGGAAAAGCGAGGGATAGATGTGTCCATCTGGAAGCCCATAAGAGGGAGCCAGATAGAAAGGCGTAAGTCTCTCATTGACACACTAGTCTACTCACGGGACCAGAATTTTCGTATGTGTGGACAGTCAAAGAAAGACAGTCGTAACCCGTTTGTACACATATGTCCGTCGGACATTTCTTCTGCTAGTAAAGAGGGTTGTATGAATTGGACGGATTTTTACAACCAGTTACCTGGCTTTCAAGTGACACTGTCTGAGGAGCTCTATCGTACTATCGTACCAGCCACCATTCCCTTGTTCGAAACAAAATGTGGCAAACATGCACGAAGGCCACGAGGTAGAAGAGACGACGTGGAGAAGGGTATGTACGCTCATCTATGGCCTGGTCGGGTGGATACCAAACAAATTGAAGTGTTGCGGTCGGGAGATTTATGTGAATTGATTGACGGTGACGTGTTACGAGACCACTTTACGACTCTCTTTCTCCCGGCGCTTACATCACTGGTAACTTCTGGAGACATACCCCATGACAAGATAGTGGCCTGGTGCAATTCTAGTAGTCGATCAAAAGTCGCCAGTTGGATACGCGATGTAGAAACATATGTAGAACGGCACGGTTGTCCTGACCCCTATCCTTGCGCCAAAATAATTTCGATTATAGAGCATGTTTATGATATCACTATTGTGGATCGTCGCCAACTCGAATCGTGGCGAGAGGACGTGGCCGATCTTGGCGACCCTTGGCTTCTACCCAGACCGGACATGTTTACAATGGTAAAAGGGGATGAGGGGTTACGTCAGAAGCTGCATATGATCACTAAGGCCGACAGCAAGTTCTACGGCATGGCCAATTCTCGGCGCCGGCTCTTTCGCATTACGGGTAACATGGGTTCAGGTAAAACCAAAGGACTCATTTACTACCTTACCGACTTACTTCTTAACATCAGACACCGACCTGAAGCCTCTTTACAACATTCTGAGTATATTCCCCAGCACAAAACCCACCTTTCCCATCTCCACACCATCACCATCGTATGCCCGCGCATTGTAATGGTTGATCAATATGTGGCTAGACTACGTAATAGACTTCACTACTTGACCCAAATACACCCTTCACTGAAGAGGCGAGTAAACCGGATTTCCGTACGCGCCTACCATTCCAACAATACGTCTTGTTATGACGAATGGCGGGAACACGATCGAAAGCGAGTCATAGCCCGTGACACAATGTTGAAACTTAAACACGAGGCTCTTGTTTCCCGCCAAGACATTCCCTACGCATATCCCCACATCCTGATAGAAGAAGGGGCCAAAGACCCCCACGTCATCAATCATCCTGTGGTAAACGTAGTTTGTGTCAATTCGCTTTACCACCTGGCAGGTCCTCCACCGGACTTATTAGTCATAGACGAAATTGTCATGATCATAGGAAACATGTTTATCAATAATAAACCTGTGCCTGATAAGCCAATCGTCACCAATCTGACCACTCTCCTCCACTCGAGTCGAATGACATTTCTCCTGGAAGCACGCATGACAAGGGAGGTCGTGGAGGCTTTCACCAAATTATGGCAGGGACTGCCCGAAATCACTAGCCAAACGATTGACGACTGGTCTACGGAGCTACCACGCATAACGGGGATGGATGTTTCCAGACTTAACCAATGGATCCGTCGCATTCGCGAGACTAATGTGCGGAAACAGCACAACACACAGCAATCTAACAATAGTGACGACAGATCTGCCGGCAGTGTTAACATCATATTAGAACGGCCAGTTTACTCATCGCATACGTGCTCAGTTTGGATTGAACAAATTCCTACCAACATATGCGTGGTATCGGTACACCCTCCCATCATTAATCACGTCGTGATGTATCCTTCACGCGATCAGATCGTTACGCATCTCATCTCTAATGCTATGGCAGGCAACAAGGTTTTGGTGTTAACTTCAACACAAAGCCAAGCCCACGCCATAGGATCGGCCTTTGTTGGGTTCGCAACCGCTAAAGGAAGAATTCCCATCCCGCCCGTCCAAGTTGCTACCAAGGACCAAACCAGGGATGTGGGCTATCCTGGTATCTTGGAAGTCATCAAGAGGCTACCTAAATATAATCTAACCATCATGACTAATGTGGTGGGGGCAGGTCCTTCCTTTGAAAACAGTAAGATCGACGATGTATACCTTCTTTACCAGCCCGGGAAGATATGTCCACCTTTACATGATATGATACAGTTGAGTGGACGAGCACGTAGTGTTACGAGGAGGACGCTCCATGTCTGTACTATTGGAGGGCCCATGTATCGGTTTGGCACCGATGATGGATTAGTTAGAAGTGACTGTGGTTCTACTAGCAATGTGGATCCTATCACTCTTTTTGCCAATGCGCATAGAAAGTTGTATGGCCAGGAGGAGCCGCGACCGCTTCTCCGTGCCTACAAAGATTTGTTAAAAGAAGTAGGTAGAGCGTATGCAAAATATCACGAGGGAAGCTATCAACCCCCCAGCTTCTCTCTTACCACTGTCGCACATGAAGACGTCAATGTTTGTTCTCGTATTGAAATCACCCAGCGGCGGACTTTAGCCTCTCGGTTCAGGGACGAGGAGTTTATGGGGCATAACTCACACTTAGTGGCAGCGTTAGAGAAACAACCCGCGAAGGGGCGTTTGAATTTTGACAACACAATTGATAAAATAGTGGCCGTTACGCCGAAGAATGAGCAAGAGGGGGCTTGTGGTGAAGTCAAGAAGAAGAGAACAAGGTATCAGGGAATCACTCTCGTTCCAATGATAGTGCCGGATGAAGGTGAAGTGCGATATATCCTCACAGCCGGCTATCGAAATACACGCAAACGACTTAAACGAACCGATACCTAGAGGAGATGACGACCCCACCATATCCTTATGCCAATAAAAGATATTTCCTTACATGGTTTGTTTGATGTCTTCATAGATGGGGATTGGTTCAAATATAGCGACTAAGGCAACAGCAAGTAAATTTTATAGATGAGATCCTCTGCAGACACCATATCTAATGCGATAGGGCGGAAAAACAAGGCGGGTAAAAACAAAATTCCCGCATTTTAAAATTTTTGAGATCATAAACTTTGTCAATCAAAAATTGAGGCAATAAAGCATGAAGTATATTTTCATGTACTCAACAGTATTACTGGCTTGTAGATTTGTATAGATCTGAATTAATTTGAACAATTGTAGAAAAGAGCTTGTCATACCACCATGGACAGCTACTATACGGAGTATTCATATGGGATTGGACACCTTGGTCTGTGAACACTTGCCATAAACGCGAGCATATTTATTTTTATTTTTATTTATTTATTTCATCACAAGACGGTTGGGTAGCCCCATTAAGCTTATATTAGCTGTTTTCCAAGGGGGCCAAGCAAAATTACACAAGGCATTCTTACATACAGTAAGACAGCATACGGTAAACATAAAAGTCCGATGCGTCAAATTGTTTTTTGCAGAAAATATCTGTAGAAAACATCTTACAAAAAATACAAAACAAACAGGAACTTTTACTTCCTTCTGTTGGAAAGTAAAGCACATGAGTCATTATACAATAACGCAAATCAATGTAAAAAATTTACTGTGAACAAAATGCTACTTTACAGTTTTTATT